GAATATAGAAGAATAATATTGAAAGTATAATATTAAGAGAAAACGAGGTACAAAATTGTATTTGATAATAAAGTTTTTATGAAATTATATAATATTAACGATTATAAATTCTTACAAAATTTAGTAATATTCAAAATGAAACACTTTTGTTTTCTGTTTCTTTTTGAAAATATTATATAGTATTGTAATATAGAAATGTAAGCAGTACACTATTTAAAACTCGAATCTTTTATTTCGTATTATGTTTCATTACATTAGAAGCACGTGTGTTCTATACTTCGGTTTAGCTTGTTTCAGTAAGAACAGTTTTGTTTCATTTACAAATTAGAAGGTAATTACGTAAGGTCTTTTATGAATATAGTTACTAAAATAATTCTGTAATACAGTTATTCTATATAACATAATTTGTGTGATTATTTAACGTTTTATTGAATTTAATTTTTCAATTTTCTTAATATAACCTTAATACAGTTGGTAAAAATAGCGTAATATAACTACGTCCCTATATTTTCAAATACAAATTACCAACGATTATTTGTATACAATGATGTAGATCATTAAAAAATCAAAAGTAGAATAACAAAATACAATAAATATAATATAAATTCTTTTAATTTGAATCTATTTGAAGGTTATAAAAATGTATTTGTAATACATTTTGAGTTTTTCTGTTAGAAACAACAACCTAAAATATTAAATACTGTTGGAGATAATTCAATTGATCATAACATCATTTGAAAGAAAATACTGCGAAGATGAATCCTGGTGAATGGCAAGCTTAATAATACCTTAATTAACATTTTCAAAAAAAGTTTTAACTTTTCTAATAATTCATTTTACTTACAGCTAATAAAGATAGTGACCTCATGTCACCAGTTAAAAAGGAGCAATTAAAACCTGTAGACTATCTGCATTTGAAACAAGCAGAGGCAATAAATGTTAACAGATTAATTAAGCATAAAGCTCTTCGTAAAAGGGTTAATACTGCTGGCGTGTGCCTAGGACTTTTCAGTTTTTCAATTTATCTTTACACTATATATGCCGTAAAACAAGAAACTTTTTTGGATGACTTTAATGAACCTGAAACAATATTAATCGATGCACCTAATGCACAGAAGTAATATGTTTTTGAAATACGTATTATTTTATACCTTGTGTGTTATAAAAATAGAAGTTATTTAAGCAAATATATTGTAAATTATATTAAACAGTTATAAATAAATCACATTAAACTTACAATCATTATTGAAGTTTGCCATAAAATCGAAGAAAAATGTCAAGAGTTCTAAGATTACCTCCTCTTCCAACAATAAGAGATATATTAAAATTATATAATGTATCTGCAATGAAGAGACTTTCACAAAATTTTATTTTAGATGAAAAGTTATCAAATAAAATAGTAAAAAAGGCAGGATATCTTCCAGGAAGTTATGTATTAGAAGTTGGACCTGGTCCTGGTGCATTAACTAGATCAATTTTAAGACATTCTCCAGAAAAATTAATTGTTATAGAAAAAGACACACGATTTAAACCGGTGTTGGAAATGCTAACTGATGCTTATGCAGCAGTTAATGGCAAAATGGATGTTATTTATGATGATATCATGAAAGTAGATTTAACTAATTTATTTCCTGAAAGTGTTGCAAATGCTTGGGATGGGGCAGCTCCAAAAATTTACATAATTGGTAATTTACCATTTAATGTATCGACACCCCTAATAATTAAATGGATCCAAGCAATTTCTGAAAAGAAAAGTCTTTGGATGTATGGTAGGACTAGAATGACATTGACATTTCAAAAAGAAGTTGCAGAGCGTTTAGTAGCTGAACCATTAAATCATCAAAGATGTAGATTATCTATAGTGGCACAAGCTTGGACACAACCAATACTACGTTTTATTATACCAGGTACATTAATATTTCTAATTTTCATTTTAAAATAAATATATGTTTCATTAATACGCTGTTTTTATTTTATCCATTCTTTAAATTTGAGGTTCTGCATTTCTTCCCAAGCCACAAGTTGATGTTGGTGTGGTAACATTTGTACCTCTAGTTACTCCACGTACAAAACATGAACATGACATTTTTACTAAAGTAACTCGTCACATTTTTAGTTTTCGTCAGAAACATAGTGTGAAAGGCATTGGGTAAGTATAGTTTATGTAAAAATTTTATTGTTATAACTTAGAAATGTACAAACCTTTTATGAATTAATACTAAACGTTTTTATTTCATTTATAGAACATTATTTCCACTAGAACGTCGTAAAGAATTAGGTGAAATAATGTATAAACTTGCTGATTTAAATCCTAAAATAAGACCAATGCAACTGACAGTGGAAGAAATTGACAGACTTGTTAGTGCTTATAAATACTTATTAGAAAAACATCCAGAACTTAAATTGTATGAGTATCGAGCATCTCGCCGAATATTAGGACTATCAAAGATAAAGGATGTAGAATTAATGGAATCTGAAACATTATAATTTGATTAATGATCTGTGCATCGGTATATAATAAAATAAACCTCACATTCTTTACATAAGGTATAGTTTAGGTTTAAATTGAAATATTCCTCTCCTAAAATATAAATATATATTCAAAAAAGTATTTACAAGCGTAAAAGTATATATCATTTTACTATTTGATAAATCTATAGATTACAGACTATAAGTAAATCACATAAAATCCAATTCACTCATTCTCATAAAATTTTATTGTAATTATATATAAGTTTTTTTTAGTAAGTTTCATGAATTTATGTTTATTTAAAATTGTTTAATTTCGGAGGAACTAAGATAATTTGTGTCTGTTATTCATATTTTAGAAAATAATAAATGTAGTAATGTACAACAAGTTTTGTATATCTACTTTTATTCATGCATGCTACGTATATAAAGATAATGCATACTTGTAAAAGATAAAATAAATTTAAATCTGTAAATTTATTAATATTCATAATATTCAATCGTAGAATATATTTTGTTTCACCTGCCAGTCTCGTTAACTGTATTAAAGTGCTATTTTAATTATTGCTTTAGAAATTATATTATAACAAATAAATTCTGC